TGTATAACCCCTGACTTGGTCTTTGAAGGCTCTACTGCCCCCCAGTGGACAAACCTGGTCATTAGTTTTCTAGAGGATCTGATTTATGTTCTGCAGAGAACCAACATTTAGAAACAATCAGTTTAATGTCACATTATCAGCTAAACTTTTCAGAACTCTCTCCTGTCTACTTATAGTACTAGTATTAATTCTTTAACTTTTACAATTATTTGAAAGGTAACCTGGACGAATGCTGAAAAGGGTAACCCGTAGGAAAGCTGATAACGATGACAAACTGTGATTCGAGGCTCTAGCTATTGTAGCTACATAAATGTGAACTTGACGCAGCTATGAGCCTTTTGCTCCAGTTAGCAGAGGGCCTAACTATTCACAGCTTTTCTCCATCTCAAGCACTTTGCCAATACTGACTCGTGTTTTATTTTGTTTATTGTCAGACTCTCTTCTAGACTCTCTTTTTGATATTTTTTCACTGCAGGATCCTCTGCCATTGAATCAGCCTTTCACTGAGATAATGTCCAAGGGCATTTGCATTTGTAGAACAACACACTCTCTAAAATGACGTGTGCTTGGAGAGAATCTCTCATCACAGGCTAGATTTTATAAAGCCTAAAAACAGAGCCAAGAGGAGGTGCACAACTCTAGTTTTCTCTCAATCACTTGAATTGCAATAGGCTCAAAGGTAATTATGGTATTTTTGTCCAATGATGCCAAAAACAAACTGCCTTCCCCAGCATTAAAGGTTGTGTCCCAGTTTCCGTATTACATTCAATCTAAGCAAGTTGAGTTTGTCGTGTGTCAGTGATAGACACAATGTACTATGTTTAAACATGTCCAGTATTTTTAGATGAAACTGGTCACATCTTTATAAAACTCAACATTCAAAACAAAAACACTGAATGACAGGCTTTTGCTGTTCATGTTGAGCATCACTGCTTCCTGTCTTACCTGTTTTTCTCCTCACCTCCAGATCATCGCTCCCCCAGAGAGGAAGTACTCCGTCTGGATCGGCGGCTCCATCCTGGCCTCCCTCTCCACCTTCCAGCAGATGTGGATCAGCAAGCAGGAGTATGAAGAATCCGGCCCCTCCATCGTCCACCGCAAGTGCTTCTAGAAAGCTACTCCTCTGCCCCAGCTGATCCATCCAACTAGAACAGTCTCTGGTTTATTTTGCATGAACAGACTAAAAGATAAACACAACAAAAAAATGAATTGTTTTAATTTAAATGTCTCAGCTCGGCAGATCCACAGCAACTCTCTGAACCTCCTCCAAACACACGTTCCTCTGACTCTGCTCACAGCTTTCTCTCCTTCTGGTGATTAACTACTGATGGTCAAAGAAAACAAACAGTATTATCACTGAACATCTTTTTCTACCTGTGTCTGTCTACCTCTTCAACAATCCAGTGCATCAATATTTGGCTTTTCTCCTCATCTGTTCTGTTGATTGGACTCTGTAAGAGTCGAGCTGTATCAATACTCCACAGGAGTGTTTACTTATCAATAAAGTGCCAACATTTGATGTTTACAGCGTCTCTCATGTCGTCATTTGCTGCTTGAGTTTCTACATATATAAAATCTCTTTGAGGTGTTCTGTGTGTTTCAGAAAATGTTTTTTTCCTTATCTCTACAGCTGCTTTACATCACAGCACATAATCACAGACAGTGGAGATGATTTAACATGCTGTGCAGACTCTAGAGACCTCTGAGGTAAATTTGTGATTTGATTTTGGGCAATATAAGTAAACAAAATGGCAACCAAAACCAATCACCAGTTCCTCAAAACTCTAGAACAGGGGCCATCAACTAGATTTGTCTAAAGGCCAGAATTTTTCCAAGCAGACACTGTGGGGGCCGAACTAGGAGCAAATTTGGAAAGATATGTAATTGGCCAGGGGGTCTGGGGGTTCTCATACACCACCTGCACTAGTCTAGATTTAGTGCAGCAGATAATTGCATATTTCACAAGTATCGTTCAAATTGTGACACAAGCAAGAAATTTGGCACAAATACTCTTCTAGGTCCACTCTTTTGAAAAAGGGCGCTGGCCACTCAAAAATTCAAAATGGCCGCCATTTTTCAAGATGGCTTCCAGGTGTTGTACCAATATGTCCTATACATATATATGTAATTGTTATGGAATAAATTCATTTGGGTCTAAACTGCTTTATGGGTCTCACATTTCATTATTGTAAGTGTTGTTTTTGTCATCACTGATATATGACATGTTTTAGCAATGATGGTGTGCAAGATGGCCGCTGTAAAATTATTGCAATGATATCTATGGATGGATCTATGGATGGATCTATACATAAGTTTTTGGGGTTGTAAATTCCAAAAAACCTATTAGTTTTCTTGTCAGAGAACAATTTAGTAGGTGGAGAAAAGCTTAGTGTAAAAGAGTGAATGTCAATGCACAACCAGGGCACAATGGTGACATCACTGTGGAAATCAGCATGGGGCTCAGTGTCAGCTAGTTGTTGACTAATAGTGATAGTCTAAATTAACTTAGTGTCCCAAATGCTGTCTAACAGCCCCCTTCAATTAGCTATTAAAAATAGTTAGTAGATGTAGTTAGATAGCCGCACCTGAATTGACAGGGTGTGCCAGCGCGGGGGAGCCGAGCCAAGGGTAAGCGGGGCTGTACATGACTCATTCATGTACACTTACCCGGAAGGTGTACAGATCACACGGGACTTAAATGGCACTGGATGAATGATCGGGCTAGGTGTAGGTCACCCGAACCTAGTTGTATCCCATACCTGAATGTGCGGTATCGCTTTGATCAAGGTGGTAAAAGGATAAACCCTCGGCCTTAATCAGGAGTCAATCCTCAAAGAATGGCAAATGCAAATTCAGTGTTAGCCAAGAGGCAAACTGATTGGAGTAAATGTCTTTGTCAGAAAGACAAAAGAAATGAAGGCCCTGTATCACCTCCTATCCATCATGTTCCTCAACATGATTATTGCCACACATGTATACTATCAGATATTAATATATACTTTCAACATATTGTACCACAGTAGCCAGAATTATAATTATAATATTTGAAATTATTACTTTCATTAATGTTGTTGTAAGCTATTAACATTATCGTCTGTCCTGCATCTCTATCTCTCTCTCTGTCTCATTGTGTCATGCGGATTACCTTTAATGTATTATGTTGATCTGTTCTGTACGACATCTATTGCACATCTGTCGTCCTGGAAGAGGGATCCCTCCTCAGTTGCTCTTCCTGAGGTTTCTACAGTTTTTTGCCTTTGTTAAAGGGAGTTTTTCCTGATCAGCTGTGAGGGTCATAAGGACAGAGGGATGTCGTATGCTGTAAAGCCCTGTGAGGCAAATTGTGATTTGTGATATTGGGCTTTATAAATAAAATTGACTGATTGATTGATGTCGTCAGTAGTTTGGTTTTCAGAAGCCATCAAAGTTCTACTACCAAGTCATGGGTTCATTGCCAAAAATGACCTTATGTTCTATTGACATTGCTTGTTTTATCGACATTTTGACTCTTACAAATAATTCACACTGTCTACATGAGCTGGAGGCCGACAGCGAGAGTCCGAGGTCCCGAACAATGCTGCTTGCAGCTTTAATTTAGAAGTTGGAATTGTTTTGTTTGTGAGAAGCCCTTTCTTCACCTCCACAGAGACACTTTAAATCTCTACAGAGCTGCTCTGGTAGAATCCAAAAAGCCTGAGGGGTTTTTCTTCCCTCTTTCTTGCCTTCCTTGGAAACTGGTTTTTATCCGGTCTGCCCCACTGCACACCTGGACCAGTGAGACTGCCACCTGAGAGATCAATTACCTTTTATGGACATC